CGCTCACCTGGCATGCGTGTGGCCCGGGTTCGATCCTTAGCACTACATACAAACAAAGATGTTGTGTCCGCCGAAAACTAAAAATTAAATATTAAAAACTCTCTCTCTCTCTCTCTCTCTTTAAAAAAAAAAAAAAGAAAAAGAAAAGACCAGGATTTGGAAGGAAGGAGATTGCAATAAGCACTATGACAGGAATGTAAGTAATGACAATCTGAATTCTCCCCTGAAGATAGCTATGGCATCTTATTTATTTATATACTGGGGAAAGTGAAAATTCTTTTGTGCATTGATGGATACAGAATGAATGGGTCGACACTGCTAACTAAGGACCTGAGGAGTTTACATGGCATCCCCTTGGAGTGGGCTCCTTTGAGTGCTAGGTAATATAAGGGATCTGACTCAGGTCTTATTAATAATAGGTCCACTGGGCCAAGGGGCCCATCCAACTTTCATTTCTCTAGACCCTGATATTTAGTTTAAACACAAAAACATGATAGTTGGTATAATGCCTGTATTGTTCCTTGGTTCTTTGGCCAAATAAAAGAGGTGGTGGTGGTGCTGGGCTGTAGCTCAGTGGTAGAGGGCTTGCCTAGCATGCACGAGGTCTTGGGTTTGATGTCCCAGCACCACACCCACACACACAAAGTGTAAATGATATTAGCTGCTATAATTTCCAGTACTCATTATTGGGGAAATATTTCCAAGTAAAAAAGAATATTGGTAGTAAACAAAATTAGGTTCTTTCAGATACTTAGATGAAACTTTTGGAAGTTATAGGTMATCTTTTTCAAATTTCAACAGCTGTTAGGAATAGAGTCCAGTGATTTTGTTTTTTTATTTTTTTCATTTTTAGTACTGGGGATTAAACCCAGGTCCTTGCACATGCTAGGCAAGTACTCTACTGTTGAAAGCCACAGCCAAAGGGGCCCCAGCAAACTTCCAGCTGCCAGCTGATGATTGGCTCACAGYGACCCCAGCAACATCTAGCTGATTGGCTCCTCTGTGGTGATGCTCATTGGGCTGTTTCCCTGCCCTTTCAGACCACGGAGCTGCTCATTGGGGGACTTCTTTGGCTCCGCCCACGCRACCCAGCCAATCGGCCTCAAGAGCAGGAGGATTGTGGGAAGTGGAGAGGCTGGTGTTGGGGTGAGAGGCTTGTGGGAAGCCAGTGGTGGCAGTTGGGCTCTGAGGGTTTTTTCCTGAGGAGCTGTTTTGTTTGGCGTGTGTGGTTCTAAAAATAAAGTTAGTTTCTTTTGACAAGTGGCTCCTGAATTGTGCCCAGCCAGACTGCGGCACTCTACTACTACACCATGCCCTAGCTCTTCTTATTTTATTTTGATACAAGGTCTTGCAAAGTTGCCCAAGATCTCCTGCCTTAGCTGGGATTACCAGCATGTACCACCTCAGAGAGTCTGGTGATTTTTAACTTTGAATGCAATTAGTGGAACCCATGGCAAGTGTAGCACCCCCACCTCCATTGTCAGCATCCTTAGGTCATGAGCTCTCTACTCTTGGCTCTTCTGTAACCAAGATCATTCATCAATAATTATCCCTACCACACAGTTTTCTTCACTCTCATGCTTTATTTATGTTTTTGTTTGTTTTTTATTGGAAGGGGGGTGTACTAGGGATTGAATTCAGTGCAATTCAACCACTAAGCTTCAACCTTACTCCTTTTTAATTTTTGTTTCAAGATACGGTCTAAGTTGCTCAGGCTGGCCTGGAACTTCTGATCCCACCTGCCTCAGCCTTCAGAGTCACTGGAATTACAGACACCCTCCACTGCACCTGGTTCATGCCTTATCTTTAAAAATAATGTGTTATAAAATCTACCTTATACTTCCACTGTAACTTTTGATTTAGGCCCTGGCAATAGGTATTGTGGAACACAAACAGTTCATCAGAGCCCTGCTTGACTGCCTAATATGAAAGGGACCACTTCTAGGTCTAAGAAGCAACAGATGCCATGACATCTAAGTTGTATATTTCTCTTCTCTTGCTTTTCCTTTTTTTGTGCTTACAGCAAGACAAGTGCTAGCATGAAAACGTTCTTGTGCCTTACAAGCAGACATAAAGTGGATTGTTCAAATGCTCATCCTCTCACACATTTGTGTGTGTGTGTGTGGTCAAGGATCAAACCCAGGACCTCGTGTGTGCTAGGYAACAGCTCTACCACTGAGTTACAACCCCAGCCAGCCTTCCCTTTCACACACTTTGATTCACTGAGAAGACACATTGTTAAAGCACCAAATTTTTGGAGAATTTTCACTGAGTGTAAATTATTACTGAACATTGTCACTCCTTATCTTAATTGAAAAATAATCTTGACTCTGGTGAAATGATGTGTGATTTGTGAAGTTAGAAAAGTCATTGTGACCAAGTTCCTTACCTACAACAATGCCATAGGAAAAAAGCAGAAAGTAGATATTGGGAGCAAAACTGCTCAACATCAGGCCTCCAGCCACCATGAAGCCACTGAAGATTGTGACAGATCTTGCTCCAAAAGATGAGACACAGAGACTGCAGACAGGACCTTAAAAAAAAAAATCATCACTTACTTAACATTAATCTCTTTCCCACAATTATATGATCAAACCATCATAAGTTCAAGATGACCTTTTTTCTATCATAAAACACACAACAACAAAAATAATCCCCATGACAGGTGTGGTGGTGCATGCCTGTAATCTCAGCTACTCGTGAAGCCGAGGCAAGAAGATCCCAAGTTTGAGGCCAGGCTCTGCAACTTAGTAAGACTCTGTCCCTAAATTTAAAAATAAAGAAAGAGAAAGAAAGAAAGGAAGGAAGGAAGAAAGAAAGAGAGAGAGAGAGAGAGAGAGAGAGAGAGAGAGAGAGGAAGATTAAAAGCAGGGTGAGGGTGTTGAGCAGAGATAGAAAACTCCTGGAAAGAAAGGAAAGGAAAGCAAGAGAGGAAGGGAGAGTGGGTTGCTTTGGAGTCACTTAATTCAAATTCTAGCATAACTACCTGCTAGTCATTTGATCTTGGACAACTTATTTTATCTCATTTGATTTAGTTTCCTCATCTGAGAACTAAAATAATGAAACTGCCCACCTTATAGTGTTACTCTGCACTGTTGGCAAAACCGATCACTACCTGGATTTATTGTTCTGTGTATGAGAAGGTAAGTGCTCATGTAATGGGATTTAAATAATAGTAAAATTCCACTAACACTGTAACAGAATTACAGAGCTATGAAAGGACATTAGGGTCTCATTTTATGTGGAGGGAAAATGAAGTTCTGGTAAGTTGTCCAAGTCCATAGTAGAAAAAAGATCCAAGATTTGAAGCAAAGAGAAGTATACCTTAACTGAGTTAACAACACTGCAAGGTACAGATTATACTCTTCAATTTTCAAAAAACGCATCTGCCCACATGGCTAAAGGCAGTCATTACTGTTAATAAATATGTAGAGCAAGCAGGATCCTCATAATCTACTAAAGATGAACATGACACACTGTGAAACCCAGAAGTTCTAATTCTGTGGATATACCCAAAAGAAATACTATTATACCCAAAGTCATCTACTAARATGTTCATAGCAGAGCTATTAATAAAATCAGGTAACTGACTTTAAAATCAACTCAAATTAGGTAACTCAGACATTCATCAGCAATAGAGTATATGAGTTCATTCTAATTTATATTTATAATGGGCTACTTATGGTAATAAGAATGATCTACAACTACACTAATGATAAGAATGTAATTTCTCAAACATCTTGAAAGACACACAATGCGAAGGCATGAACTATGTAATTACAACCATAAAAGTACCAAAACAGGCAAAATGATCATTAGATCAGACATGGTGGTGCACACTTATAACCCCAGCAACTCTGGAGGCTGAGGCAGGAAGAAACCCTATGTTCATATATGAATATACTATCCGAGTAACTCCACATCATATACAACCACAAGAATGGGAAGATATACTCCATGTATGTATAATATGTCAAAGTACACTCTACTATCATGTATATCTAAAAAGAATTTTTTAAAAGATCACTGAGATGTGGCTCAGTTCCACCCCCTGGGCTCCACCCCCAACACTAGAATAACAAATGAACAGACAAAAATAAAATAAAAGGTACTGGGATGAAACTCAGTGGTAGAGTGCCCCTGGGTTCAATCCTCAGTACTGGAAAAAAAAATCTATGGTTAAAAGTCAAGGATGGTGTTTTCCTTGTAGTGGAGAAGAGTAGTAACTAGAAGAGAACACAGTTGAACTGTGTTCCAGATGCAGCTCATGTTCTAGGTTTCCATGAGAATGATTACTTGGCTATGTCATTTATGAAAATTTATTAAGCTTTACTCATGTGCTATGTGCACACTTCTGTATGTCCTGTTGGCTTTTTTTTTTCTCTCAGTATTGAAGACTGAACCCAGTAGTACTTTACCACTGAGCTATATCTCCCTTTTAATTTCTTTCTTTTTTTTTAATTTTTGAGACAGGGTCTCACTAAATTGCTGAGGGCCTCACTAAATTTCTTAGGTCCTCAATAAATTGCTAAGGCTGACTTTGAATTTGCCATCCTCCTGCCTCAGGCTCCCAAGCCACTGGGATCATAGATGTGTGCCACTGCACCCAGTCTTTTCCTTCTTTTGTAAGTAACCCTAAATTGAGAAATAATGGAAGCCTTCCCAATTCACACTATTAGTTAGTGGCAGAGCCAGGATCCCATGTCCCAAAGCCCAACATTATTCCCAATATCATGATTTACATACATTTAAAACTGAATTATGACCATTGAGACTAAAACCACATAACTTCCAATACCTAAGGATCACCCATTCCTCTCTGGCCATGAACTGGCTTCTGCCATTTTCAGGCCCTCTTCTGARAGCAAATGCAGAACAGCAGATATATTTATATGACAAACGGAGAGGAATATTCTGGGGCTTAGGGGGTACCAGGGATTGAACGCAGGGGCGCTCAACCACTGAGCCACATCCCTAGCCCTATTTTGTATTTTATTAGAGACAGGGTCTCACTGAGTTGCTTAGCACCTCACTAAATTGTTGAGGCTGGCTTTGAACTCACGATCCTCCTGCCTCCACCTCCCCAGCTGTTAGGATTACAGGCATGCACCACCGCATCTGGCTGAGGAATATTCTGCACCAGTGTTTAAAATTGAAAATCCACTTGAAAGATGAAACTTAACATCCAAGAGTTGAGCTGTTTGTATACCCAATGAGAAATACTTAGATGTTTCAAAAATAGACATGGTTTTAAGAATCAAATTTCATAAATGGATGTCTGACAACATAAAGGCATGACCCTTCTCTGTTGTTTACCAAACTGCATTGACACTGAGAGTCACTGTTTATAAATTTTACAGCCACAATGGAAATGAAGCACAGAGAGATTATTACTGACACGCTCGAAAGATTTCAAGTTGAATCTTCAAAATAAGACTTTAAATGTACGCTCCTTAACGTTTATTAATGCCACAAAAAAACACACAGTTGGGGTGTCTGGAGTTAGTGATAAAAGTTAATCATTTTATAAAATATATGACATCTTGGGACATGGTGGCACATGTGGTGACTTAAAAGACTGAGGCAGAAGGATCACAAATTAGAGGTTTTTAGCGATACCCTGTCCCAAAAAATAAAAAAAATAAATAAAAATGGCTAAGAACCGAGCTCAGTAGTAGAGTACTCCTAAGTTCAATCTCTAGTACCAAAAAAAGTAAAATAAAAATATAATATCATAATCAATTATGTGATAAAATATTAAATCATGATTCTTTCCAAAACACTTTGAGCTCTAAGAAGAAATGAGCAAAACTTCTTTGACAGAGGAAAACAACAAATGGAAAGCTTTTTAAAAAAAAATATTTTCACATTGCCATCTGCTGCTTACTTAGAGAAAAAAATGATTGATGTCAGAGATTAAAGACAAAAAATTGTAAGGCTGGGGGTGTAACTCGGTGATAGAGTACATATCTAGTACACATAAGGTCCTGGATTCAATCCCCAGTACCACCAAAAGTTAGGGGGAAAAGAGAAAAGAAGATAAAAGAGGCATTGAAATAGCTCAAACACTTCATTTTTAAATGATGAAACTAGAGCTCAGAAAGGTAAGTAATTTGCATAAGACCTATACATAGCTAGTCAAGGCCCCAGCTAGGGCCAGAGTCAGACCAGCAGTCTTCTCAGTGAGACGTATTTCAATCAGGATYTTAATTTTTTCCCTAAAAATCAAAATATGTGTGAAAAAAATCACGTTTGTTAATATCTGACAGAGTAAGTAGTTTTTATAAATTTATATCMAATTAATACAAAATATTTATGATCACTTGGTATTTAAAAATTTAGAGCAAATTGTTAGAATCCTAAGAACGCKGGTATTTATAGATTCTCTCTGCAAAGATTCAAACCATAATAGCTTCATATTTCAACAAAAACAATTAGAACAAAGTACCACTAGTAACTATTCAAGTCACATCTGTAAAACTGTATTTAGTTGTTTTAGTTGTTGTCATAACACACAAGTTCTCCAAGATAATAACCATGCATTTCTCCTCAACACTGGATAAGTTTCAAGAGATGAGTAAAAATCAAAGGACTATTCTGAAGGGAGATTTCTTATGAGGAGTCTTTCACATTGCACAAGGGACCTTTTGAATAGACGTTAGTTAACCCATAATATAAATCAGTAACCTGAAAATTTTAGGAAAAAAAAAAAGCAGTTTCCTTATTTTGTCATTGACATTTTAAAATGCAACAAACAACCAGGAGGTACAGTGGTACACACTTGTAATCCCAGCTGAGGCAGGAGAATCACAAGTTTGAGGACAGCCTCAGCAATTTAGTGAGACTCTAAACAACTTACTGAGACCCCCCTCAAAATAAAAAAAAAAAGGAAGGGGGGGAGGGGGGCACTGGGGATGTTGCTCAGTGGTTAAGTGCCTTGGGATAAATTCCTGGTATCAAAAAATAATTAATTAATTAACTAATTCGATGACCATCCATGATCACCACCACTTTCCTGGAAAAGGAGAAACCTTTTAATAAGGAAACATAAGAAGGATGTCATATCAGAATGAAATGCAAGACAATAGAAAAATAAAATCTTACACATATACACACACAGCCTTTACATTCTTTGCCTTTTCTCTTTTTTTCCAGAAATTTTTTCTGGAATTTAAGGTGTGTATCATTGTAAGAGCCATTATTAGTAGKGTTGGAATTGGTCTTTGGAAGCCACTACTACTATTATTACCTGGGTTTTGGAGATCCCTCTTGTCTGGTTGGCTGAACTGTTAGCTGACAGAGTTGGCAGCACAGAGGAATGATCTAAATGGAAGCATGGGGCAGTGGGAGGTGAATGGCTCCATCCTTTYTAGGCCATATGAGGCAGTATCTTGTGAAATATATTCTACCCTCCTTCATGGTACCTGGGCACCACTTTTTTTGGCACAATGCTGACACATGCTCTCAAAAAGGTAAAAATGTGTGCATTGGGGAGAACAAAGTAACCCAATCAAAGTGAGGAGCAAAGAAATA